TTCCATGATCCCTTGTCATGTCAAAAACCACTTTTTGACGTCAAAAACCCAACCCTGATCGAAGCACTTGTTTGCCTTCTTTAACAAAGTATGACCTTGGTTATTCAGCTTTTCTCAGTACAGTTCCGACAGCCTGCCACAGTTTCTTGCTCACTTACATGTATTTTTTCATTGCAATTCCTTTGTTTACTCCCACAAAGTTAATGTGGTTTATGGACAATTGCGGTTTATAGAATTGTGTTAGATAAATTTCCTTGTAAAAAAGAATTCCTCTTTTTTTCCCCTTCAAAAATTAGATTAAAAAACACTACACTTTAGGTTAGGAATTTCAAATGTGCCCTGGAACAACTGTCTTCTACCTCTTCAGTACATTTTTGTCTGTATTGATAAAAATTGAAGAAAATAGTTTTTTTCTCTCCTAAAAATGACTATTAATTTAGTTCATTAACTTTTAATTTATTCACATACTTTTTTACTATCCCTTATAGATTCACGCGAACATGATGAAACTGTGCAAATTTTATGTAACCTTTAATTTATATGTATATCGATTTTTTATTTTATTTTTAGTATTCATTATGGAATCAAATGAATCTGATAAAACCATATCAAGTCATCCTTTGAAACACCTTTTGTCACTTGAATGGGATGATGCTAATGATATGTCTTTAACAACAAAGTCTGAAGAAGAGAACGGACCACCAAAGCAAAAGAAGAAAGTTAGATTCTCTGATACTGTTGAGCAAAATTTTCTAGACTCCAATGATGTTGAAAGTAATATTAGTAATTCAGATAGTGAAAATGATAATTCATCTCAATATGAGGAATTCTCTATATATGAAGATAATTTTGAAGATTATGTTGATGATGAAGAGAATGCTGATGATGACGAGAATGTTGATGAGAATGCCGATGATGACGAGAATGCTGATGATGGCGAGAATGTTGATGATGACAGGAATGTTGATGATGACGAGAATGTTGATGATGACGAGAATGTTGATGATGAACAGAATATTGATGATGAACAGAATATTGATGATGAACAGAATATTGATGATGAACAGATTGTTGATGATAAACAGAATGTTGATGCTATAGATATTATTGATGATGGAAAGAGTGTTGATGATGAAGGGAATGTTGACAGTAATGTATCAAGTGAGTCACAATTCAAATTGAAGGATAATTTGCCGCAATCAGAAGAGTTACCTCATAGTGATAGAATGGAGTCTTTGCCTGTAAATAATCAAGTAAAAAATCTGGATAATTTGAATACTGAAGTTGAAAAACAAATTATTCAATTTAGTTGCCAAATTCAGAATGAGAAATCTGAGGTCAGTCATTTCTTTTTTATTTATTTATTTTTTTGTACTTATTTTTTCTATTAGTGTTTAACTTTACAAATTTTTGCATCAGGCAGTAAAAATTATTATTTAAGTACTGTGTTTAATAGTACTTCTATGTTGTAGATTATAGATTTAAACATTGCAAGAAATGTAAGTCATAAATTTTGTCACCAACAATCATAGTGTTAGCTGTGTAACGGAGTAATTGCATAAAATGTCCTCATTAATTAGTACACAAAAGCATAAAGTACGAGCTCAATTCCTGACAAAAAGAGTTTGTTTTGGCTAATTATACAGACTACATTGTCCTCCAATACTCGGATATACAGTGTTGATTTGTGAAGGGCAGAGCGTTGTTGATTGATTAGTGTAAAATGCAAAATCTCCCTATTTGATTGCTATAAAGTTGGTATTATAGCTTGGCAGCTAAAAGACTGCATAAAAGAAATAATATATGTTAGAAAAAAACAGCTGTTTTCCTAGTTCAGTACGCAAGTTTGGTAATTAATGATTATTTTTCTGGTTTATGTCATTCTTTTTTATTACTGTTTCTTTTATTTAGTTACTACCCTCAATATTTAATTATGATATGTAATTTCAAGTTAATGCTTTTAAAAAAAAATTCATGATCTCGAATTCAGTCATCAGAAATATACCTGATTTCATTTCTATTGTGGATTTATTATTTATTTGTTTTCATTTTCTTTGTTCAGATTTAATGTTTAGCTAGTTTAGTTTTTTTTCTTGTTAAATGTACCCTTATTGTGTAACAGAACATTATATTTTTAATTTTTCATGACAGCTTTTTCATTTGATTTCTTAATCATTTTTTAGATTGTTCATGGTGGTTCTGAAAATAAATTTGATGTAACTACTTCTGATGATACAGGTAAACCTTTTTTTTTCATTTTGTTTTTATTCTATTTATACTTGAAATCTTTTGTGTTTTGGCAAATTATATTAACACAATTTATATTAACACCAAAACAAATGAAAAAGTCCCTTATTTTATTAAAAGTATAGTTTCACAAATATTATTCTTTGGCATTGAGTCATTCAACTACCTCTGAAGTTAAACACAATTATTCTTATTATTAATTATTATCTAGCAGTTTCCTTTTCATCCTTACCTGTGTTAATTTGCAGTAGGACTGGTTGGCATTGCAATGTATCATCACTCTAACATTGTGATGTTTCATTATGTTAATGTTTTACATCTCGTATTGCATAATTTTGAATTCTTGCTCTTTTTGATTAGTTGTCAACAATAAATTAGATTTTTTTTTCATAACAAAAAAGCGGAATGAAAAAAAAGCACCCAAATTTATGATGACTTTTCCTTTTTTCGATTGTCCGCAGAGTATGCATAGTAACACTGAATCTGAACTTGTCTGTAATTTATGTAATGTTCTTTTCTTCATCTCTGCCATGCACTTTATTCCAAATTCATTTAATTTTTTTTTCTTTCTGTAAGGATTTCTTTTTGATAAAAAAATAAATGTTGAGTTTTGTAAATTTTGAAATGAGATCTCAAAATAAATTGATAACAAAATATATCACTCTCGAAAATCTTACTCATAAAAGAAATTTATTCTTTTTACTTTACTGCATTACAATACCTGCCAAGTCTGTTTTTTATCGAAGACTCCTGTATTTTATGACTATTCCCCGCTTACCCATATATTCTCAAATTTCTCCGTATTTGTTGAGGAATTTAAAAAAAAAAGAAATTGGTGATAAAATATCCACTGATGGCAAAAATACTTCTTATTCCTTAACAGATGGTGCTATTGGTAGAACTGCAGTATGTTGAGTGTTAATAGTTTAAGTCCAGCCGTGCTGGCTTAGGGGATAGAACATTCGCCTTCCAATGAGGTGAACCTGGTTTGAATCCCAGCTATGACTGGTTGATACATATTCCACATTAGGCTTGCACCAACCACAGTGCTGATGTAAAATATCCTTAGTGATAGATCTGGTTAGAATCCCCTAGCCGTCAGGGGCTAACCATGGGAGGTTTTGGTGGTTTTCCTCACCATTTAACGCAAATGCGAGTTGGTTCGATCAAAAAGTCCTCCAAGAAGACAAATTTCTCCCGCTCCTTGAACCAGGAGTTCCCTTGTTTTCTGAATTGGTTTCAAAATCACAAGGCTACGGAGTTGAACATTAGTAGTCGTAAACCCAAAATTAGGTCAGCTGTTCAATGACGGTTATAAAATAATTAAAGTTATTATAAATGATGGTTTGAAAAAATCTTCTTTAAATTAAGATTTATACACATATTTTTTACTCCACTAAATGTAAGTGCTTATATTATTTCCAATTTTGAATTTCTCTTTTTGACTTGCATGATTATGTGTGATGTTCAAAACTTTACTCGTAGCCTTAAAAATATTGCTAGTAAGATCTCCGTTATTTTATTTTTTCAATATTGGCAGGTATGCATTACTCTAACTTTTTCTAAGTTAACAAAAATTAAAAGTGTGCAATTTATTTGTTGTTGTTGTTGCTTATCCTAATCTGGCCTGATGAAGTCAGACTAGACCTATTAACCCGTTGATCTGGATGGAATCAACGAATAGAATCAATGGAAGACCAAAAGAGGAGTAGAGTAGATGTCTTCCCAGAGAAGACCAAGACAGTCCAGGATATGATCGGCAGAAGCCCGGTGTATATGGCATTTAGGGCAGAGGGGGTAGGTTTTAGTTCCTGCAGAAAATAGTCAACCTTTTGGATGGTCAGTACCTTGGCAGGAGAGGGTGGTGCAGACTCTCCTTACAAAGGAAAGAGTCAAAGTATCTCCAGGCTTATTTCCTTTGTACCAATGGTGGGCAAAGGAAAAATTTATTTAGACATATTGCAGATTGAAATGTTTTGAAATTTATTATCACAAACATAGAACTATCTGTTTAAGCATTTTGGAGACTTCTGAAAATGTTTCATAATTTTGTAGGGCTGTATGACTCTAAAACCGAATTTGATGCTTTTGGAGCAATATCATCTGAAAAAAAGATGTAAGTTTTCTGTCTTTAATGTAAAATTTTTTTAAACCATATATTTAATTTAATTTATAGTTTTATTTTACAGCTATAGGTGTGATAAAGGAATGCTTCCGAAACAATCTGAAAAAATTAATGAGTTGTTGAACAATACTGATTTAACATTTTCAAATGCTTTGCAAATAAAACAAGCTGTTTGGGAAGCTTGGAGTACAGTAAAGAAATGGGAATATCTTGCAAAGAAGCACACAAGAAATAAAACTAGTGAAAGATCTGTAAGTTCTTAATTTTTCTTATCAGTATTTTTATAATAATACTGATAAAAAAAAGCAGCAATATGTTAAGACTTAGAATAAAAGTGTAACATTGTCAAAATTATATCTTCTTTATATATTTTGTGTATAAAATGAAATTTTAAATTAAATTAAAGACTACAAAAATAATTTGAAAGCAAGCCAAAAATATAGGAACTTATCTTAAATTTTTATGCTTGAAATACTATATTGAATAATAAAAAATAAAAAAAAAATCTAACACATTATTATGAATAAAAATTTTATTTATCCTAGATAATTATTTTTAATTATTTAAGTTTTGATTTAAGTAATTTTACATTTTGTATGCACTTATTTGTTAACTGATAGCCACAAGTTTTAGCTATCACTTTCCATACATGAATTATTGAATAGTTTTGTGTTTTGATTCAAAAATATTTCTTAGGGTCTAGCTTTAGTTAGCTAAGAATCTCAAATTATTGAGTTCACTCTTAGAGTACCAAACCCAATCTCATATCTAGTGCATACACCAGATTTATTTGGTTAACATACATTAGATTTCAGTTATGTTTAATGTTTCCACATGCTTATTTAATATTATTTCTTAGTAAATAAATTGACACACAGCCATTTATGTCAGCTAAATTTAGCATAGCTATGATGAGGACCATATTTGTTTGAATTCAAATCAAACAATAACGATATTTATTTTTAATATTTGAATTCTAGAAAAATTTGTACCTACTAGTGTAGATACAACAACTCAATTACTGTAGTTTATAATATGTATGCATTGATTTCTGCTCAAAGGTAAAACAGAAATTGAAATCAGATCAATAGATAACCCAAAATAATGATTGACAAAAATTATTATTCATTTATTAGTATAGCTAGTAACCAATATTTTGATCTTCAGTAGTAAAATTTATTCTTGTTGTTAAAGAGACTTTTGAACTTTCTTAATTTATTTATTTTTCTTCATTTTTTTAGGATCACATGACTGAATCTGTTGCTAAGAAAGCTGAAGTAATCCAACGCCCTCTTGCATCAAGAAAGCGGGTAACTCGAAAGAAAAAACAAGCAAACTTAAGCCATGTTGATAAACAAATCCAATCATCAAATAAACAACGAGAAAAATCTAAAGCTGATAAGGAGGAAAGCGAATTGGTAACAATTTTGCTTTTAATCTTTAAAATATTCCAACACCTTGTTATAGCCTTGAAATAAACTTAACTGTAAACTAAACTTAACTTACAACAAAAAAACCTTGTTTTTCAAGGTTGGAGCAAACTTTTTTTTTGGTATCATATGATGCTGATACAAACCTTGTTTGCATCAACTGCCTTTAATCTTTAAATTATTCCAACACCTTGTTATAGCAATGAAATAAACTTAACTATAAACTAAACTTAACTTACACCTAAAAACCTTGTTTTTCAAGATTGAGCAAACTTTTTTTTTGTATTATATGGTGCTGATGCAAACCTTGTTTGCATCAACTGAATAGTGAGAAATGTCAATAAACTAAAAAAAAAGAAGATTATCCGGAATAACTTTTGATCTAATGATCAGATTTTCACAATATGGGATTCAATCTTAATGATTTGAGGGGGTGACCTCAACTATGCTAGTTAATAAGCGCCGACAATATTTTAATTTACAAAATCAGACACAATAGCGTACTTTCTCTGAATAGACACCTTTTTTTGGCAGATTCGCATTTCTGATTTCCAAAATATAGGGGGCACCCTCAATGTGGGAAATATGATCCCTACAGTTTGGTCAACAGGCTCTAAAGTTTAGATCCCCTAATGTAAATTTTCCTTTTTGTGTATTTCACTATATCTTGAGAATTTTTTAAACAAATTGTAAGAAAATTTAGATTCAATTATAAAATTTGTTTATCCAAAGCTAATTTTGTATAAAGATTAACTTTTAGTAAATATTTATTATTTAAATTAGGAATGGTCAAAGAAATTTCGAATTGTAATGTAGACAAATTTTCACATTATTTGAAAGAATTTAATTTTATATGGCAAATACAAAATGTGAGCTAAATCGTCGATAGTTCTTGAGAAATCGAATTTTAAAAATACGACTTTTCCCAAATTAATTCTGAACCAACTTTTGAATGATAGGAAAAATTCACGAAAGTGCAGCAATTTTTTCCATTTATTCTGTTTCTTATATGACAAATTTTTTTAAAGAAAAAATTTCAATTGTTTTCAGATTGTTGACTACCCATTAGTGAGGTTGATACACGTTTAGAAAATGTAACTTTAAACAAACTTGTAGTACTATGTAGCTTTAAAAATTCTAATTCAATGATATCATCATGTTGATTCCAAAGCTATCAGGAAAAAGCGATTCCTTGAGTCACTTGCTTCTGATAAAAGAAAGCTGCAAGTTAGCAAACACCCCCTACTGTTATCATATAGATTACTGAAAGAGGAAAAAAAAGAATTATCTATTGTTTAAATTGAACCAATACATTGCACTATTTTTCCTATGACAAAAATTTATTTGCTGCATGACCTGCTTAAACAGACTAATTTAATGATTTTATTTTAGGTTTGAGAACTAAAATTTCTCCTTATTATCTTTATCGTAACCGCCAAACCTCAATACAGACTGTTCTTAAGCTATATGAGACACAAACTATAAAATCTTTCTTATAACATTATAGCTCTAAAATATATTTCAATAAATATGAAAATAGTGAGCATAAAGATATATTTTTGTAGGCTTTCAAATCATGGAAGAATCAGAAAGAAGAAATCCTTAAACAGAATGCAATGAAGCAGCATAATGAAAAGTTACAAAAACGAATGTCTTCATTGATGAATGAGGAAATCAAAAAAGAAAGGGCGGAATCAGCTTATATTGAATGGTTATTATTTTCAGTTTTACTATAGTTTTTAAAATTATGTTATGTTATTTAGTGTGCTGTTTCAGCGAAAGGAAGAAGAGTAATTATTATTGCAGCCAAATCTCAGTGTTACAATTTTAAATTTATTTCAAAGGAAGACACTAAAAATTTCTTGATATCAAAAATTTGCACCTTCAAAAATCAAATGATTTAAATTAAGATTTTTTTTTTTAACAATTCAGTCAAAATTTTAACTGTATTGACATTTTAAAGTTGTTCATAAATTTAAAAAAAAAAATGTTTCTTTTATTGATTTTACATTTTTCTGAAGTTTTTCTGTTTTGTTATTTTCTTTCTGATATATCTGTAGATGCTGTTTAATATGTCTAATACTTACCAATTACCACGTACTGAAACATTTTCGTCTATGGTAACTACTTCCTCAGAAATGTCAATTTGTTTTAGATTTTCTAACTAAGAAAGTTTTTTGTTTTATAATGAATGCATGCACACATTTTGCATGATTACTTCTTTAAAATGTATGGCTCAATCAACTTTTTTTTCAAACAAAATGCAGTTTGTTGGCAGTTTATTTTTTATTATGGTGTTTCAAGAAATGATTTTTAAAATCATTCAAGAAATGTTTTAAGAATTTGAATTCAAGAGAGCTTTTTAAATTCTTTAGAAAACTGGTATCTTTTTTAGTGATTAAAAATGTTTCGTGAGATCTAGGGTCACCGGGAAAAGCATTCAGGTAAGCGACTTTTTTTTCTTCTCTTTAACAATATAGCAAGCATGCAGGAATTAATCCTCTTCATCAGTACCGTCTTTAGGCATGGGCACACCTGGGCAGTACCCGAGGGCCCCCAGGCACTCAGGAAGCTAAAAAAGGCTACCGAAATTTATTTTTCTACGTTCCAATGAAGTTTTTATGTGGATTCAGTTTTTTGGGGAAATCGAAATGTATTTAAATTTGTTCAAATTATTGCATATATTAAAAATGCTTTATTTTATGTATGTGAAGTTTTTTTAGTTCTATTTTAAGTAGTATGACCTGTCATAAGGGCCCAAAACAATTCTGTGCCCAGGGGGCCTTCATGTTATTCAGACGGCCCTGCTCTTCATGTTTCAAAAAACTTGTGCCATCGTGGTTCGTGATTTTAAGGTCTGACTATTCTTTCTTTCTTTTTTTATTATTTTTTTTTTTAAAGAATTTGCCTTGTTTAGTAAACATTGACTCCACAACCATAACATACATAGGTACTTTTTTACATTTTTCCATTTCTTTTGTCAGATTTAGTTTATAACTCTGTTTTCTCATATTGACTATGTAATGCCATTTATAAGTAATTGCTACCTTTTAGATAAACATTTATTTTAATTCAGAAACTATATTTTACTAGATTTTTTCAGTTTTATTCGATAATTTTGACTGATCTAAGTGATTTTGTGTTTCATTGATTTCATTTTTGATATAACAGAATTTTCGTTTTTAAGAAATAATTATAATTATCTTAGTTTCTTTTTGTAGCTTGTATTTTGATTAAGCTTAGGTTTTTAAATCTCATTAATTAAAACACTTTTTTTCTCCTTTGGTTATCTTTATTAATATTTAAATAAGTAACAAACATTTTAAATGAGCATTAAGTTTGTTCTTTTATCCTTTAATTACGTTTTTATGTTCATCATTTTTTAATGAGTCTATTAATTTTGTTTCATATTTTTTTTTTATTTGAGCAAAATTTGTAGCTAAGTACTTATTAAACCATCTCGGTGGATTTGCTTTCTTCAGATAAAACTTAATGGTATTTGTTAATTTTTTTATTTACTTTTTGAATTAGCCTTTGATTATTACTCAGATTTTGCTGACGGAAAAACTATAGCAGATATTGACTATTAGGTCATTAAAACTTGCACTCGTTAATCATTGATTTTTTAAAAAAAAATCTTTTAACAGGTCTAATTTATTATGAGTTGATATTTGATCAGGAACCAAATAACACAAAAGATATTATGCCTATGAAAAGCAATGAATAGTTTGACAATTTTAGCGGAATGAAAGTTTTTTTTTTTTTACTTAAATAATAAACTATTAATAAATTACTCATATTTTAGATGTGCTTATTGATTTTAAACTAGAATCAATGTATATCTTTCTACCATTATCTTTAATACCTGAATTACCATATTTATTATATGTCCAAAATCAAGTCTACAAGGATGCTGCTAGAAAAGGTTTTTGAAATGTTTTTAACAATAGTCATTGCTAACTCCTCTTTATGTAGGAAACTACATTTGAAGTTGTGAACTAAAAATAAGTAATAATGAATGCATATTGTTTCAAATAATTGACATGGTAGCTTCAATCACAGTTTGTAAAAGTTGTTTAAATATTGCCAATATGATATTTTGTTTATGTTGGTTAATTAATTGTATTTTGTGTTATTATTCAAATTCTTGTAAAATAATTTATTTTCAAGAGAATTAAATTACTTTAACTGCAGTTTTTGCACCCGTGTCAATAAAACTATGTTTCTGTATTATTTTTTATAATTGCCTGTTTTTTTTTACTTGTGTATGGTCATCCATTTAATCAGCATTTGAGTAAGTATTATAAATGTGTTCATGCTTTTTTTTTTCCTAAATGAAAATAATATCTGTTACTAATGAGACTATAACTATCCTCTGTTTCCTTTTGAAAATGAAAATTGCGTCAGTTATAGAAGGTATTTTAAAGTAGCAAAAAAAAGAAAAAAAGAAAGAAAGTCTGAATAACTTGAGCGAGTTTTCCTACTAGACAAGTTACATAGGAATGTGATTTATCCATATTTTTTGTTGTTTTTGATGCGAAAAGTGCTTTGCTAAAAATTCTGTTTGACAGAAGTAATGTCTTTTGTGCAAATTCATTAATATCTGAATATATTTTGAAAACATTGCACCAGCTTGTTAATTCAGTACTTTTTATTTTAACTGTGCCCTTGTTTGGTCATACTCTAAGTTAATAATCTCAAGCATCAGCAATTATTCAACGTTTTCTATTTTTTGAAGTATAGTCATGCATTTAAATTGATATTAACTGTAAGTAACCACAATTCAAAAATTTAAAAATCATTCAGATAAGTTATTATATTATTGGAGACAGTGTATTGTTTGTTTCGTTTATGTCATAGTTTATCTTTTATTTTAATTGAATTGCCATCATTCCATTTTTTTTTGTAGGAAAATGAGAAAGTTAAATGTATCTAAAAAGGAAAAAGAAAAGAAGGCTTGGCTTATGCAAAAAGAGAAAGAAGCTAATGAACAAAAACTGCAAAGAGATAAAGAATCTCAAGAAATCTTTCAGGAATGGTTAGAAAGAAAATATTTTCAAGATGACAATTATTCAATGACTTTTAATGACAAGCCTCCCTGGTTACCTCCTGGTAATGATTTTTTAAAAATGAAATTTTTATAAATATTTTTGTAGCAAAAATTTAAATACATTTTTCAGTTTACAAATCATCAAAGGTTACACATTATTGGGACCTCTGCTATAAATTTAATTTAAGAGACACCACTATTCCTGATACATCAGCTCCTTTTAAGCCTTCTGGGTCTCCTTTCATTCAAATGAATGTTGATCCCCTTGCAATTAGGCTAACAGTGGGAGGTTTTCATAGCTTTTCTTTATATGTAACACAAATTTGGAGTATTTCCATCATTAAAATCCTCCAAGAAGGCTAGTTTGTCTCAATGCTTGATTTAGAAGTTCCCTTATCTTCTGAATTGAGTTCAAGGTTATGGAGTCAAGCATTAATAATTGTAAACCCAAAAATTGGTATGCTGATCAATCTCGTATGTAAAATGAAATAAAAATATTTAATGCTAATTCTAAAGCAAATGCCCTCAATTTTGTCTCACCTAACAGTGCATTTGTATTCTTCCCAGATTAGTCCACTGCCCCTTGGCTACCAAGGCTCTTTCCCTTTTAATGTCCTTTTTTTTTCTTTCTTTTTTTTTTTTTTNTTTTTTTTTTTTTTTTTTTTTTTTTTTTTTTTTTTTTTTTTTTTTTTTTTTTTTTAACTGGCAACTTCAGCTTTTATTTAAATTTGTTCTGCATTCATTTGTTCTTCACATTGTGTCTTCCTGACAAAGAGTGCTTAGTTTAAGTGCTTAAACATGTCAAATTTTCTTTGATTTCCTATGAAATTAAATAAGTTTATTATAATTTTTATTTTTAGAGACTTAGTATTGGTTTTTAAAAATCTGCTTGTCAAAATCCATTTTCTTTGGTACATAATTATAGTTGAATTTTTAATAATTAATTTTTCATAAATAATCTGCTATAGGTATTATTTTATCATGAATCAATGATATATTTCTCTTTTAAAGACCTCAGGAAACAAAAATAAAAAATTTGCATGTTTTATAACAATAATTTTTATTGTTTGAAAGTAATTTTTTTCTTTCGATATAAAAGTTATACTGGCTTTAAATGTTAAATATTATTTTTTTAAACATTTTTTATTGTTTTAATATTGTTAGGGTTATTGTTGACACTCTAATATGTTTTTTATTTTATTATGTTAAGTGTTATAAATCAATTATTATTTTAGGGTACTCTTAATGCTGGAAGCCTTGTAATTATAATAAAATATATAAAAGATATAAAAGAAATTTTCCCTCCAGATACTACAGATTTAAGAAGTGCAATTTCTCAACGAACAGTATATTCTTGATGAACAAGATATGTAACTACAAATTGCTATTACATCTATCTACCAAATTCGGAAAATGAAATTTACTTGGGGATGCAGAAAGAGTAAAAGATAGGTGAGAGTTGTTGAAGAATATCCAGTTAAGAAAATATACATTAAAGATGCATTTTGAATTGCAGCACATTACTTTGAACTGTACTTATAATGCAATACTATATGAATTTAATTCAGATGTTTTGACATTTATTAATTGATAAATTTTAATTCAAATTCACCTATGATGAACAAAAGTATTGATGATTGATTGTTTACATTAGCGTTCAGAAGTGAGCAAATATTCTGCTTGTGTAAATTGATAATTTATTTATAATAAATGAAATGATGTAATGAAATAAAATGTTATTTCAAAATATTCTAGCTTCTATTATTTTTTCAACACTGTTGCTGAAGTATTTAAAATAAATAATTTTTTTTAAATGTTGTTGTTAAATATTAAACTTATAATTTGTAGACAACTAAACGTCAATCAGTATTACTCTTGCTAATCAGTCAATGCACAAAATGAATATTAAAACTTGCTTATTTTTATACATTTTTTATTTTAAAGAAAAGCTAAGTTATTGAGACTCTAATTGACAAATGCTTAGTTATATAGTAAAATTTCCTCTTAATTTTTTCTGAATTTCTCTTGAATTATCAAATTTGCAAAAGATGCATAGTATTTGAAAGAGCATTTAATACTGACATATTTCATTCTAGGGCTGATTTTTTTCTACAATTTTTAATTGTAGTTCTTGCTTTGCTAGTTTTTGCCTTCGTTTATTTTTAAAATTATTTAAAGGCTCAGCAATATCCATCAAAATTTTACTTTTTCTTGATTTTTTTAGAAAGAAATATAAACGGAACTTGTAGAATAAAATCAATGGTTGTATAAAATTAAAAAATTTTTAATTTATTTTTAATCAAACTTGTATAAAAAGGGGGGGGGGAGGAAACTCTTAGTTAGTGATAAAATGAATTTGTAAACTCAGTTTGTCAATTTGAAATTAAAAAGGTAAGGAGTTTATCCAGAAGTTTTATTTTTCTTATGCTTGTTTTTTAAGTTTTCTTCTATTAAAAAAGTAAATTTAAAAAACTTGTTTCTTAGGAAATAAATACGAAAGTTATTGTAAATGTTTCACACTGTTCTTGACACTGTCTGTGTCTTTTGCAGGGTTTCCCATCAGGGGGGAAGGTGGGCGCAGGATGAGCCCACTTAAAGCTTGGGGGGGATTTTTACACTAAATAAAACAAATAGTTTGGGGGGGGGAATTTAGAGGAGAGAATTTTTTTTTAAAGTACATAAATGAAAGAAGCATTGTCATATTATGAGTAGAATGCAAGCAAAGTAGAACTATTTCGAACAAGCTAACATGGAAGGGAGAAGTTAGCAATTTTTTTTGGGGGGGGGGGTAAATGCGCCCAAGAGCTTGGGGGGGATGGGGGCCACTGGTCTTTTGACCATACAAATTATATCAGATTCTTCAAATTTTGTATACACTTATAATATCTCTTGACTATGGGCTATAATATTTCTTGATTGGACTTGTCACATTAGAAAATTCTGAAGTAATGTCTTCAATATTTTTTGAAATTGGATTATTTCTTCTGAAACTTCCTATAAAAAGTTGAAGCTCAAATTATTTTTTGTTTCGAACCAATATGTAAAATATGTATTTCTATTTTCAAAGAAAAACATATCAAAATAATATAACAAAATAAGTATGCACAGGTTAAAAGTTGAATTTTTTTACGGGATGTTTGAAGATAGGAAATGGTCAAGCATGTTAGGAGTTATTATCATTTTCAAAATATTTGAAATGTAAATGTAAATTTTCTCCAAGGTTAAGATTTGTTCAATGATATCAAAAATGATTTTCCAAACTATCTTGTGAGTGTGGTGTCAACACTAAATTCTTTTATTGTTACCCCATTTTTCATTGCAGATTTGGATTTGCCAGATAAAATACGTGAAATTTAAACTTAAGGTTTTACATTTTAGTTCACGTATGGTGCTGTGAACTAAAAAAGTGTTGGTTAAGAAAAAGGTGAAAAAGTTGAAATACAATGAGAAATGCATTTAAAAACAGAAAAAAAAGCATGAATAGTCGTGTTTGATATATTGAAATATCTATCTAATAACAATCTCAACATCCAATCCCGGGGATTCACTCCATCTTCAAAATCACAATTAAAAAGTAAGTGTAAGTATAACTTCCTGTTGCTGTATAACTCCTGGAACCTGAAGTATTTGACAAATTTATCAAACAGCTTCACATTTTCAATATTTTGCTAGTATAGCAACTAAAACTAAAGTTATTATAATTTATTTAGCTTGAAAAATTTATTGTTAATAAATTTTTGTAGCTAAAGTTTTCATTTTGGTTTTGACGATACTGTGTATCACTCAATCATGATAGTCTTACAATTTATTTATAATTTCCAATATTAAAATTATATATTTTGGATTTAAAAATAATTAAATTTGCGCAAAAAATTTCAAAAACTATGTCTTATCATACAGTGTAAAAAAGAAAATAAATGTAAAATTACTTAAATTTCAATGAAACGAATTTTTGCATTTTTAATAAATGCATTGATTAAGAATAAATAAGTTATTATTAAAAAAAATAGTTGGTATAACGTGCTTTGCTTACAATATTTTATTAAATAATGCCAACTAATTAATTAACTAATGCCTAAATTTTTTTCCAAAATAAGGATTAATTCAATGATACCAAACGTGATTTCCCTACCTACTTCCTGAGTATACATTAAAATCATTTATTGGTACGGATTTTTATTGCAGATTTGGATTTACCAGAAATAATACCTCAACCTGAAGGTTTTACATTTTAGTTCACAGATGACGCTATAATTGCAAGATGAAAATGGAAAAGTTTAAATAGGTCGAGAGAAGCATGCAAGATCCAAAAAGAAAAAAAAAAAACAAGATTGATCGTGTTTGATATATTGAAATATCTATCTTATGGAAAACTTGCCTTCCGACATCTGGAATTCACTCCATTCTAAATAACAATTAAAAAGTAAGTAAGTGTAAGGTAAAAGTTGTTATATTTTCCTGGAACATAAAGTATTTGACAAATTTATCACACGGCTTCACATTTTCTACATTTAGCTAGTACAGCAACTAAAATTATTATAATTTATTTACTATAAAAAATTTATTATTGATAAATTTTTGTATCTAAAGTTTTGATTTTGACGATATTGTATAGTACTTAATTATCATGGTCTTATTTTTTATTTCTTATGTCCAATCTTAAAATTATATAATTTGAATTAAAAATTAATTTATTTTACATACAAGTTCAAAAACTATGTCTCATCATACCGTTAAAAGAAGAACATTAAATGTAAAATCCCTTAAATTTCAATGAAACGCAATTTTGCAATTTTAATGAATGCAATGGTTAATAAAAAAATAAGTTATTGTTAGTTCGTTTTAAAAAAAATAGCAGTTGTTATAACATGCTTTGCTAATAATATTTTATTAATTAATGCCTAACTATAGTTGATATTATCACATTGTAAATTAGTGATATTAGAGGAATACTCACTACAAATATTATTAATTTACAAATTATAAAATAAGTCTTAAGTAATAGTTTGGTTCCGAATACAATAATTCGGATAAGTCGCTCGTTGCCCAAAAATTTCATCAGCAGAACTCTTTGTTACAAATGCGTCATTAAAATTTAAACTAAAACAACTTCTGAAACTTCTCTCGTAGCTGTCAAGCTTCCGGAATGAGATTACTTGAAACTTTAGGAATCAATTCTGGTAGTTGTCAAACTGACTTTCTTGACTTGAATGTCTGGAGGCCAGGTTGTTCTATTATGCTGCCCACCACTAATAGCTAATTATCATGCAGAAAAGGAACTAAGTGCGAAATTGTAACTCGCTAAAAGCGTACGTTAAAGTAGCCGGAGTACAATTAAGATGGGCTAAATTAGACGAAGTTAATGGACATTCGTTTCATCAGAAAGGCTTTCAAAACAGTATATTATGCTGAAAAGTTTGTAACAACATTTATGTTTTAGATACAGAAAATGCGACGATTCCAATTAGTTATAAACTGAAGTTATATGCAAATGGTTTGTCTTCATATTTACCAAACCAATTATATATAAGATTTAATTTATTTAAGCACTTAAACTAGTTACAGTAGTAACATAATCCTGATCTTTTCGATATTAAGCTATTCTGCCACCTAAGGAAAGAATTGGGCAATTTAGTTAGAAACTAATGTCGTTCGACTTAGATACGTTTCTAAAATGCTAGTTCTGCAGATTAAGCTGAGAGTTACGATGTATATATATATCTATATATAGGTTTTATTTTTATTCCATTTGTGTAGTTGTTTCAATGCTCGACTGACTTTAGTTGAAAAAATTCGTAGCAGGAATATTTAAAAAGAAAATTGTGAATATACACCGATGTGTTTTTTATATTTTATTTCCTAGTTCTTTCTTTTTTTTAATTTTCGTTTATTTATTTATTTTATTTATTTATATTTTAAGCAGTTTAAAACCGCGACTTTGATCCACTGCTTTAGAATAATAAAAATAAATGGAGGGGGAAATGAAGAATTGGATACTTGCAACTTGAGAAATGATTTATGCATGACCAGGTTTTAAATCAGGTTTAATTGGATACTCTTGTAAGCGACGTCACGCGCGTGTGTCGTTCTCGATTGGCTTCTGTATGTAGTAATTTGCAGGTTATCATGTAAAATTTAATTTATTTTGGTGCCTCTACAGGTTATATTAGTTAGATAATCTCATCCTGTCCGATATTCAATGATTTCGTTGAGTGAGAATATAATTGAATTGAAATTAAGTAAAAAACTAATGCCATTAAACTATGCCACTAAACGTAGCATTTCTTCTCTTGCCAACGAGCCTGCTTGCTGAAACCAGGCAAATTTAAGGTTGAGGGTGCGTTTCTTGTTTTTCTGTGGCGTCAGCTATAGTCAAGAATACGATTTCAGCCACTTTTACGTCGCAGCCCGTTTATAAGGCTGACCGTTTCATACATCCATTCATATACAAATCGTAATTTTCACCAGAACCAGTGAACGATCAATCTCCAGTTCAGTAACCCCAGAGGTATTGATTTGCTATAGGAACATGGAGGACTCTATGACCAGACAGATTTAGCGTGCACCAGTCACCATTTGCAGCTCAGGGTGTCTTCGACCGGCAAAGGTCAAACTCACGACCTCTTGGACATGAGCCCAACGCCCTACCAACTAGGCCCGACCCAAGAAGAGCTTTGTTTGTTAAAGGAAAAATATAGTGGGAGACGGTTACTTACTGTTCGAGTTAGCATTTTTTCTCTAATGCTATT